AGGTTTTAGCGTCTAGAAGCCGTTTGAATCCGTGTCGCTCTCCGACTTAAGTCTCTTCGATACTTAAACCCAGGGCAGTATGCGCGAGGAGCAGGCGATGCTGTTCGCAAATTTTTCAAAGCCTCAGCGAGAAGAAGTATATTGTCAGTCAGCGCGTTCTTGGACTTGCTTATGGCGTACCTAATTTTGCATTTCCCGCTAATGAAAGAGACAAACCCCAACGGACCAGCTATAACGATCTTGATAACCTGAGTGCTGGACTCTGGTCACATCCTTGCCGATTTGCTTGCATTGTACACGCATCGTCTCCCTGTTCAAAGGAACATAAAGAACAAAAGAAGAACTATCCAAAAAGTCTAGCACAGAGTCTGACGAATGCTATGTCATTCGCCACCTAATTTCTGTCACTGATCACTTTATCCGACATGCAAGACGCCTAGATGAGCGCATGGATGCGCTAGAGACTAAACCCGATAACGTGCGGCATCCAAGCAAAAAAAACGTACAGAGAGGAAGATCAAAACGTAAGCAAATCTACAAAGAACAGATAGCAGTCGTCGTTTACTCAACTTCGTCCAGTGTGGCCGATTGGTTCGCGCGTGACCCGCGCTTAAGAAGCGCCCATCTTGAAAATTAAAAGAAGTCGGACTCGAAGCTGCTCCCCCCATTCATGAAGCTGTTCCTTGAGCCAGGCATCACGATGGACGAGCAAATGACAACGTCACGCAACGACATATTGACGCTCGGCTTACAGGCAGGATCAAGAGTGTTGGCGTTCTTCGGCAAGCGCAGCATCGATTCGAAAGGAGCAAATACTGTGCTGAAACAAATTCGCGCGGTCCATCGAACCGGAGAAACTAACGGTAAAATCGAGCGTTATCTCAGTCTTTTCTGGTTTGGCGCGATCGTTTAACCATCTCCTGGACTCACACGATATATTCTTGAATTTTTTAAGGCAATATAGTTATAAACACACGAAGCTTAATCCTCATAACAATAGATTGATTCTATCAAAGACTTTTTCACGTACAAATGCGAAAAAAAGGGTTGTCTACAATTCAATTCATGGTAAGTACGATACATCAACTTTGTACCCATTATACTATACGTTGGTGGGTCAGACTTTATATGGCATGGCATAGCGTAGGGCCTGCGTCTTTTAGTGCCATTTGTAAGCATTGTGAGCCATAAATGGTATTTTCTATTAAAAAAACCATTTATAGCTCACTATCTATAAATTTGCAATTTGAATTGAGGGTTTATGCTTTAAAGACCTAGCCATATCACAAGAAGAACTACATCTTTGGCCATTGACCTGAAGTCGTGCCATAAAAGAGACTTAACCCAACTGACCTAGGGTGCTGTCAAGGTTGTTTTCATTTTTAAGGATGATTATATATAGCGAATATAGAGGGGATGTCGAGCTGAAACGCGGCCAGTTTAGACGAAGAAATTTTATGTGGTTTCTGCAGATACCTCGTCTTAGAATGAGCATTTTTGTGCGTCATCTTCGAACGTGATACGAATTGCGGTGGGGTTTCGACGCACATAAATGCGATATATTTGAAGTGAACAACAGCAAGGAAGCGTTTGTTCTCGTTCGTGGACTTAAAATGCCCTAAGTTGGTGTTGGCAAGCTCACTGGCGAAGTTGCCCATCTACACTGCTCGGCTAATGTCAATGCGTTAGCGCACTAATCTTTACTAAGCATGAAAAATCAAGACAGGGGTCAAACTAGAGATTAATCTCTTACAGGATGATTTTCGTCGTCATTTTATTGAATACCCCGTATCTATGGTAAGGCTTCGTTTTAAGCTGACACGTAGGATCTAGTAATTAGTAACGTCAATCAACGTTTCAACGGAGAGTATTCTGAGCATTCACACCCGCATGTAGCTCTATATATAGACCATGCTGTCTATAGTATTCTAGTCAAGATGCTGGTGCGATTCAATCGTCAATCTTCTCATCTGGTCATAGGGAACGGACGAATATTCTAAGTCTTATAATAACCGGGTGAGCCATATTCATGTCATTGACCCATGTTGTGCTCGTGCTAATATTGTTACAGCTTACAATATGTACGAACATTCATCCTTGTACGTAAATGTAGATGAATTAGACCTTCGAAGGTAATATGTAGCACCGCTTCACTAATTGATTGATATATGCCATGTTATCTATTAAATAAACGACAAATCGCTGCTGTTCGAGCGCAGTGGAGGTGAGCGAGATGTAACACATGGTATTAGTTTGCTTATCTTGTTTAGGTAAGACGATCTAGGATTTACTAAAGCCACCGAGATATAATTACAGTAAATACAAATTAACTTATCGATCGTTATAATCGCTTCTTGTTCAGACGGTTATCCCCTACCTCTACACGTATAGTTTACATGAGGTATGGGAGCACACTTCCTTGCACTGTCATCAGTGCGAACGACTTACTAATTATGTCGTATGAGTGTGCCTCATTACACGTACGCATGATAGTCTAAGCACAATGATACCTATGCACTCTCTACCTCCACAAGTCGGATTATAAAAGAAAAACGCTACATACATGGACTAACCCCAACGTTAAATATAAATCTTGGGTTATTAGATTGTGAGACGATTGTCGCCCGATTTGACGTGGACGCCAGCTAATTCTTAGCGAATAAAAATGATCAATTGGGTCTATTTTGCTGCAAAACAATGGTAGCCTAAGAACGGTATATTGACGTTCGTTAAAGCGAGAAAGAAGCTTAAAAGGTCTCGACTGCACTATGAAGATTGCAGGAACGACAACCGATTTATCTACTACGAAGTGGCGACTCTATTGTACCAAGTAAATCTTGAACCTCAATTGTAATCGGCAATGAATCTGTGATATGTCATGCCCTCTCCGGTGGAGCATGTGCCTTGTATTAGCAAATAAAAGTCGGGTATAAATTAATGTGCGCGCAATGTGACTTCAGGGAGATTACGCTCCTTTTAATTCTACTAAGGTCGAATATTTGGTAGGGTTGTTCTCATATGATGACATTGCGCATCAGCATAGATTTGTAGCTGTTCAATGATGCTTGTCTTACTATCTTATATTCTATGAATCACCCATCAAATGAGGAACGGCGCGTTTTACGGCGATCGGTGCCGCTTACATTTACACAGGATTTCGGAAGGACGCAATATGAATTGTAGATCTATTCGTTCGCCACATCAGTAGTGTAGCGGGCTTGTTAAAAACGCAAGCATCTCAGTGTGCAAACATCAACTTTGATATCAAAAAAGCCGGCTGCGTTTTTCAAGCTATAACACTGGAATACGTCGAATGGAAAAGATTGTTATGGTTTATATTCCTCGTGACGACCATCATCTTATTCACACGTGCTATATCTATACAATTGTCGAAACGTCTTCATAATGGAATCATCTCTTGTGTTTCAAAATTATCCAAGCTGATGTACAGGTATATCAATCCAATTGTCGAAACGTCTTCATAATGAAATCAGCTCTTGTGAATCAAAATCATCCAAGCTGATGTATAGTGAACTTATGGTCTACTTACCGACCCGTTATTAAGACGATACGCATGCCGAAATACGCGCATCAAAGATTGCGACTGCATTTTCCATCGTACCTCGAGTCTACCGTGATAGATACACGGATCATGTTTGACCAGCTCACGTTACTGGACATTCCTTGGCCATGCGTCAGTGGCACGCAATGCCTTCGAAAAATGTCTTCATCCCGCATAACCCCACTGTAACCGAATGTTATCTGATAACGCTTTTGTTTTGTATTGTATTTACGTGCTCTACATCGTGTTAGCTTGAGTTCCAATTCTTTCATTGTGCTGATGCATTATGAGTTAAACTTTGTATATTACCGACATTCGCGGAACAGGCAACTCGGGTGTTACATAAGTTTTGTCGCATCCGAGCATCTTGGCGCCTTGGGCTGTCTCGGTCAGGATCCTCGTCGCATATACCATCTCCTCGAATGTGCAGCATCTTAAGGTTTTAAATGATGTACGTAGTGGGAAGTAATGAGCTTGTGTCCATGAATGGACCGCATAAAGCCCCTTCTCGTTTCGACCGGACTCGAATTACGCATGTCACATCGCACGCGTGTCTCGGTGTGTGGGTGTATGCGATGCAAGTTCACGCAGTATAATACGCCGGTATGCGATATGACATTCGCGATCAAGCCAGACGATTATTGCGCAACGTAGATGCAAAAAAGAAAAATTGACGTGGTCATCACGTATCGTACAATGGAAGAAGCAGATTTGCAATAGTGGGTGAAGTGAGTGTCCCGATGTCGCCATTATAGGATCGGTCTTAAAACTGGTAATCCATTAGAAGGGCGAAACTCGATCATTTAACGGAATGTAAGCTAGACGCTCTACGAAATTAATATTTGTGTTGCTGTTACCCGAAATGACTGTTGTGATGCTGAGAAGGATGTATTCGTGACGGAATTCTCGTCCTGGTCGGTAACGTACTACGACACAATGCTTCGGCTATCAATTAGTTGACCATGTAGGTGCTTAAACGATACAGGGGACAGTCAAATGAAACCGTCTTTACTCCAACGACGCAAAGGTACGCTATGGAAAGACCAGGCTCATTACATTCATTAAACCCTGAAGCCGGCAGATGATGAAGTAATAACTGTTCTAGATACCGTTATCCGGCTAGTTTTTTGTCGAAACTGTAGTTTTTCATACACAAGTATCACTGATATGCTAACAGATGATTCAGCTTATAGAAAAGTCCATGCTTTGAATGCAGTAGAACGCTCTGACTTCTTGAGTTTGTAGTTAAAAATAAAGACTATAAAACGAGCATTGAAATTATCTCGTTAAATTTGCAACATGGTAATATATTTAGTAATAAACGGGAACGTACACAACATGTCAAGAGTTTTATCAAATCCGAGCGTCACGTGTACACTGTTTCGCGAAGCTCTCCACGCAACAAGTCTCACAGTGAGACCAGTCCACATCTATCGCCTCAGCGTCTCAAGCGACGGACTACGCATTTCGGTGTCAACGGAGACGGAGTAAGACTGGGTGCACTTCCGAAGACAATGGTTTCACCGGTGGCTGGAGACTTCTTGCTCGACGTCTGACTTGGATCGTTTGTCCTTGTTGGAGCAGGCGTGGGCTCCGGTTCACTCTGAGTAACAGATCCCCATTCACCCTCCCACTGCTTCTGGCTACTGCTCGGTGGGTTTGCATTCCAAGCTCCTTGCCAATGCGAAGATTGGCTAGGCGGTGCTGGTTGAGGTCCTTGAGACTGTAGCGATTGGTCGTGCTCGTTTTTCGAAGCTAGAGTCGGCTGCTGATTACTGGGCTGCTTGTCCCACTGCGTAGGTTGAGTTTGCTGCTGGTTAATGGGCTTTTTGTCCCACTGTGTAGGCTGAGTCAGCTGCTGGTTGTTGGGCTGTTTGTCCCACTGCGTAGGTTGAGTCAGATGCTGGTTGTTCGACTGTTGATTTGGAGGCTGAGTCGGAGTACTCAATGTGGGAGCGGGTGTTGGTTGCGGCACGTCATAAACACTGCCCGAAGATGAAGAGGACTCTTCCGAGTCGTCGGCCGGGTCTGGAGACTCCGACTCAGCAACGGGGGGTGGCGGTGGTGGTGGTGGTACGTCATAAGCACTGCCTGAAGATGAAGCGAACTCTTCCGAGTCGTCGGCCGGGTCTGGAGATTCCAATGCAGCAGCGGGGGGTGGTGGTGGTGGTGGTGGTACGTCATAAGCACTGCCTGAAGATGAAGCAGACTCTTCCGAGTCGTCAACCGGTTCTGGAGACCTCACTGTAGCAGCGGGGGTTGGCTGTGGTACGTCATAAGCACTGCCTGAAGATGAAGCGGACTCTTCCGAGTCGCCGGCTGGTTCTGGAGTCCATTTTGTGTCACCACCTTTCGTGGCCTTGGAATAGTCGTGGGTCGGAAAATCTGTCGATGCGCCAGAACTTGAGAAGCTACCCGCAGTGCCGATTGAGACGGTGCCGATTGAGACGGTGTCGATCGCTCCCTTGTCGATACCAGACCTCTTCTTGAGCTCGGGAGACAACGTCACAACTTCGAGCGGATCCGCCGCGACCGTCAAATCCGTCTCGGTAGCAGCAACAACCGAGTCACCGAGGGTTTCGCCTCCCGCATCATCCGTACTGGGGGTGATCTTGTCGAACGCATAGCTTTTCTTGTCTCCACTGTTGCTGTCGTGCGCCTTGAGATAAGCGTCGGCTTCCTCCAGTCCCCCCGATGGATTTGGCACACCAGATTTGGGACCGCCAGCGACCACGAAGGAGATGGAATGCGCCACACACGCCGCTAACAGAGCAAAGCCCGTCTTCATTGTGCCTTCTCGCACAAGGGCGTTCCCCAATGCGTACGAGCGTGCCAAAGAGCGAGTTTTTCCTATTATGAACTACTCTTGTAAGCCTCTGTCCGATCGCAACAAAAGCTGAAGTGGACCGTGGTCTCGGGTTGGAGCTCGACACAACGAACAGTCCGTCGAACGATAAATCTGCGTGGTAAAAGAAGTAGTCGAGGAGATAAAGCACATGCTTTCGCACGGTGTTGCGGTCCAGAAACGTCCTCAGTGCGTGACACACACATGGGCTTTTCCGTTCCTGCTGTTCAGCTTTTGTCCCGAGCATACACGCAGAGGACATGGACTGTGCAGCATGGGGATAGTCGCGCCTCTTTTGCCGTCACTTTGGAAAGCTGGCACAGACATGGTATACTTTATCTCGCTCGATGCACAACGCCGTTGCGGTACGGCTTATCGTTGAAGTAAAAGGGCTCGCTTTTACCGTTCCTCGGGCGGACAACTCGACTTTGTAGCCTTTTGGTGCCAGCTCATTCGGATGATGCGAAGCTTGAGCTTGCGTGGAGAGGGGAAGCGAAGTCAGTCAGTGTGCGGTAAAGGCCTGACGTGTGCACAAGTCGGCACATAATCCCATGTGTCTCGTAAAGACTTTTAGTCTTGTGGTTAAGACACGACTAAGAGGTGGAATGAGAAAGAACGGCAGCCCATCATTTCGTTTTACACGAATGGAGTATGCACGTGACGATGGACTGTGCACGCTTTGCACCGTCTCCATCGTGGCGTTGCCGCCCTTTCCATCTTCGTCCACTCGTTTCTTGACTTGAAAAAAGACACGAGTGACAAGGAATGCCGAGCTATGCTCGTCGCTTTCGCATGTAGTTCTTGTCCGATCGCGTAGCGACGTGACGTGGTGGAAGGCAGCACGAGGTCTTGACGTGCACTGCGATCGCACGGACGCCAACAAAAGTCTGTGCCTCGCGCTCGCCAATTTTTCCTCGACGCTTTGCTGCTGCACGACGGAATGTGTGGTCGTAAGACCTGCGCGCTGAACATGAGCATACGCTTTTGCACGGCTGTTTGGCGTTGACACGACCGTCCATCCGATGTCAAATGCACTGGCAGCACCAGTAAAAAGGAGACGGCCAAAACTCTGTGTCGTCCGTACACTAAACGCCCGCATGAAAGCTGCATCTGAACACTCAGGTGGAGTGCATGCACCAGTTAATCCATCGCACACCTTCGAGTGCTCGAAAGACGATACGAAAGCAATCTACGACGCACGTGGCGTCCTGTGGAGTGCAACGCAATGGAGAGGGGATAGTGGCTCGTAGACATGGTACGCGTTGCAACGGCTACTGAGGTTGAGCAACGCGATCGAGAAGTTTTTGGGAGACGGGCTGCGGGTAGTAGTACTCGACAGGTGGCGATGTTACGACTGATCTACGTTCGCCTGTTCCTGCGCACGTTGTGTCTGATACGCTGCTACTTGCACTTGACTTGTGAGTTCACTCGCCAGGAACTTAACGACCCATCGACGATGGAAACTGAGAAACGCACAAGAGCGCCGTTTCGAGCAATCGGAACGGCAAAGACTGCCGGCGTCCGATACAATTGAGCCATGCAGACGGTGTCTGCGAACAACAGTCGACGAAAAGCACACTGGCGAAGATAATGCGTGCGATGGCGACTGCGGGGATGAACTAGGGACTTGACAAGCGCAGACCGAGACGAGGATCTGCACGACATGAGTCGTTTGTCGAACCGGATTTGGCGAGCGGCGTGAGCGACGCTTCGAGCAGTCGCATAGCTCGAGTTCTGCAAAATGTGGTCGGTGGAGTGGATTTTGCAGTCGAGACTGGTGATGTGATGGGGACGTTGGCTGAGCGCACAAGGGTCAATGGACGATGACATCGGTGCAGCTATGACTTTAACGCCGGCTAATGCACAAGCTGCGCTGAGATTGAGGATGCTTCGGCGTGAGTGAGTCTATTGCCGGGCGTTGAGACATTGCCCATTGCTGCAAAAGACTTTGGTTGAGATGGTGTCTTTTGACAACGAACGAGTCGCGGTAATGGATGCGACAAGGACGAGCTCGATGCTGGCGACAGGAGCGTCATGGTCTTGGAACGACGACAAGGTACGAGGAACCAACGGCTTGCACAGTAAGTGCCGGCACGACCACGGTAGAAAAAAAGGGTTGCGAAACCGATGCAAGCGCTATATCGAATGCTGAATGCTGACTAGAACACGCACGTTGCAAGGACTTGCCACTGAAACGGGACACAAACCAAGTGTCATTTGAGCCCGGTTAGGTCTGCAAAGTCAAGTGGCACGAAATCATCGTAAGACGACGTTTTGGAGGCGGAAAAGGCTTGCCGAGGTATGCGAGATGGTTTCCTTCTCGCAGCAGAACATCGTTTCTACGATGCCAATCGTCAATTGTCCAGAGATGCATTGCCTACACATGAACAATGCCGCGATGGGTTTTCTGCAGAGCTTCGACGTGTAGAACAGCATAGTTGTCCATGTACAAGTGCGGCGAGTGATGGCTCCTGCTTGTGTAGCAACTCGGGTATGCACAACTTTTTACGATGGCTCTTGGATACTCAGACTTCAGCGTATGCATGTGGTAGGCGTGGCAAACCGTGTCGATAAGGTACGAGCAATTGATGCCGTCGGCATGACGGCGTGGAATAATCGAGTACACGCGCTACCATCCTCACCCATCTTCAAGCACCATCACATTGACCGCGACCAACTTTGACGCTTAATCGCGCAGATTCACTTGCGAAGTAAACCAACAGAGACGAAATCAGTGTCCATGGTCAATCGCCATGACAGTATAATTCGCTTCGCTACTCAGCAACATCAAAATTACACTTCCACGTATTCCTCTACCCCCCCCCGTTATTAGTTTGGCCAGTCCATAGGAAAGAAGTGGGTTTGTGCAATTTTCCACACTTATCGTGTCGACCAAATGATTGTAGCGTGGGTCTGAACGATTAAATCATGGCAAGTCTTCGTTACTATATATCCCCGCACGCTGTCAACACCAAAGTCGGTCAGTCGACACAGTACAAATGAACGACTCTTCGGTAAATGTGAACATCCAGTACATCGCGACTCATTCATCTCGATGCGCTGGCCCCTTTTGACGCAATCCAGACAGGATACAGTTAGCCATGAAAGAGGCTTCTCCTCAAAGCCGTCATGGACAGTGCCACCATAACTCGCTGCGGCTGTGATGGCCACTGAGGCTCAAAATATGTCAGACCAGCATTCAAACTCCGCCACGGACAAGCATTCGCGTCCGAGCTTCATCAACCTCGGCTTCTTATCACCAGAATCCCCCACCAGCCTGCTGTGCATCCGTCGACCGCTTTTGGTCCGACTGCGCAAATCATGTGGAGTCCACAGCAACCGCACACACTGTACGCTGGCCTCATCCAGTTTTTAGCCGACAATACTCTCAGCGGGACGCGATATATCACGATCGCAGCCAAAATGCCACAGAAGTTCCAAGCGATATATCCCTAAGATCAAAACGCCCGAGCAGTAGCCAGGCTCTAGCTCCAACCCGTGCCGGCCAGCCAGCCAGCCGCCGCCACCAAGCGCATGAAGATTGTACCGTACGAGCAACGAAACGAACAATTGCCACCCACTGCCGAGCTGGACGAGATGCGACTTGCGGTCACCTGCAAGATAACGTGCCAATAATGAGCGAATGCATACAAACTCGCTGAGCAGCAGAGCCGACGACAATTGCGTATACTTGCGTGTGCTTGAACAGCGGGCGAGCATCTGCATGTCCATTCCACCGCTACAACTACAGCTCGACATATCACTGCTGGAAGGTGACAACATTGTAAGCAAGAGCAAAAACAGCAACAACGACAACCACTGGACAGAATGTACCTCAAACCTCGTGTTCACCTTCTGTTTGCCGCCAAATGCAAGGTCGGGCTCGATCGTCTATTTCATGGACCAACACACGCCAGCCTTCTTCTGTCTGCTAGCGTCTTTCGTTGCGTCGGTCCGAGCGGCTACACTGACTACGACTGCGTCGACGGCGATCTCGGTCTCTGCTGCGATCGCGGTCTCTACGGTCGCTGCTATGATCACGTTTACGTCCGCGGCTCCCACTGCGACTCCGCTGTCGTCGATCCACACGACTTGGACTACAACGTCGTTCTTGATCCGTCGTCCTTTTGCCAAAGCGTCGTCGATCATCCTTCCTATCACCCGCATCAAGTCCCGAGCGCTCGTCGCTGGCCTCTGTCGCCACCTTTTCCTTGCTCTCCATCTTCTTTTTTCTTTTCTTCTTCTTTCCTTGACTCTCTCCAGCCAGCGTCGGTCGCTTGGTCGCTCCCAGACCTAGTAACTTGTGTCTTGGCTGTAGAGTCTTCTGCACATCGTCGTCCATTGTCTTATCTCCTTTCCATCCCATACCCCGCAGCAAAGCTGCCCCAAAAGCTTCTACAGGCACTGACTCGTACACGTCACTGTGCACATCCAGCGCGTCGGGACGCAGCGCCACATCGTGTCGGTACTTGTCTGCAACGTCCTGCAGCGCGTCCATCCCCGGGACCGCATTTTGCTGCAAAATGGGCTTCTGCTGCTGCTCTCTTAACCTCTTTGCACCGTCCTGAAACAGCTCGGCACGCTTCTTTTCTCTCTCATCAGCCAATGGAATCACCAAGTTGAGAGCGCTCGAAGGAGCACGTCCTTGAGCCGCCTCGGCACAAATTGCCGCCGCCACTTGCTGGTCCATGGACGACGCATCGACTTCTTTCGGTCCATGGCATTTGTCGGCATTTCTATCGCTTCTACTGCCGTCTTCGTCTCTTTTGTCGCCGTCTTCGGTTGTTTCTTTCACAATGGTATTCCAGGAGTTCGTCTCTCGTAGCGGAATTACGAGCGGCTTCGATCCGTCCTGGGCGAGGACAACCAGCGCATTAGGGTCATAGTCAGTCACGAAGATCTTTTCGAAAGTATGGGGTGCTGCAGGCGCAGACGGTGCAAAGCCTGCCGACGCCGCGAGCGTCTTTTTCTTGCTCTTCTTGAGCGCAAAGGCACTGAGCGCCATGTTCGAATCTGAGCAAATGAAAATAGAGACACGTGAGATTTGGTCCTCGATCGCTGTTTCGCAATTCACGTGAGATTTGGTCCTCGATCGCTGTTTCGCAATTATTGATCACGATTTGCGAGAGCCAATTATTGGCTGTCGAGATTGCTGAAGAGGTGGGCGGTGTTGCAATATTTTAGGGACTCCATTAGGGGCTTGGGCGTCCCAATATATTTAAGCTACCTCGGGTATCGAAACTAAAGAAGGTGATTGACGGCACGACATCTGTCAGTGGTGTTGTTCAAGACGGTGCTTTCAACAAAGAATGTGTGAGGTGCATTTAATTAAACCGTGTCACTCGTCTCAAAGCAGCTCGGTAGGAGCAGCACCATACTTGTCTTATTCTAGCTACACGCACACACACACACACACGTACACTGTCATTTATTGAGCACCAGCACGCGCGTGATGAATGAGGGCGCTCGTGCACGCGCCTTATTGACTGCAACGACTGAATCTTGCAGCTGCAACAGCACCAGCAATATCATCAATAACAACAACAACAGCAACCGCAGTGCCTACAACAACAGAATTAGCAACATTAGTAGCATCATCAACAGAGAAACAACAACAGCAACCACAGCACCCTACAACAACACAAGCAGCAGCAACATCAGCATCAACATTAATAAAGCAACTAAAACAACATTAACGAAACCAATAACATCAGTATTAACAGCGTGAGCACCAATTGACTGTGTTTTCGGCCGCATCCGATGATACGAGGACGCATTTACGTCCTCGTATTCAGCGCCTGCGCCCGCAACTGGTTGCTGCAAGCGCAGCACGCCGCGGCAGAATCCTGTCCGCGGCTTCCCAAACAGGGCGGGGGTTGGTGACCGCCGAGAAAGGGAAAACAACATAATATTTAAGAACATTTGATTTTATGTGTACCACATTGACTAAATAACACTAGAACATGAGGCATTTTTTTCCAATTATCTGGTGCACTTTTTATCTTCCTGATTTAATAATGTATTTTTTAATTCCCCCGAAAAGAAAGTCTTCTCTGCGTACCAATTTGCACCCTCGACTTAAATCACTATTCATTTATCATCAGACGGACTATATTTTTTGCCGTCAGAAGCCAACGGCTGCAAAAGTGATGTAGCCACACAGTCAATAGGATGACCACGGTGTCGTTTGTTTCTGTGCAAAGCAAGATGCGACTCACAAGATAGCTATAGAAGTACTTCGCTTAAAATGTTTACGAAATTGCAATAGTGGCGTCGCCATGTGTGCAACGGGGTAGCAGTAATATGACATTGTCATTATGAAGCAAATGACAATAAAGAATATTACGCTGAATATTATTTTAACAACATCACCAAGCATAGTGAAATCGTTGGGATGACCGAAGGATCTTCCCATTGGTTGATATTGAGATGATATTAGCCCACCAATCGCTGCTAGACGCGCGCAATTGGTGGTGAGTAGACGTCAGCATACGTTTAGTTCGATTAATATAATCAAGTCAGAACGAACAAGAGAAACAAGAGTGATAGGACTTAACTGTATTACATAACATTTATACTTTTACCACGACTTGAGTCTTCACCTTGGTCGTTACCTTCCTCTGTGTAAGTAATTACACCTAGCTGGGCACTGACCTTCACTGTAGTCAGTGAAAGGTTAGCTCCCTACTGGTAGTCTAGTACGTAGTCGTCGGTACCTCGTAACCTGGTGGCACTTTTTAGTCCGAATAAGGACAACACTCGCATCGCCCATAATGAACATGTTGAGCTAAGTCGAAGACGACAGATTTCACGGAACCCGTGAAAGCTACTCCCATTTGAGCGATGTAGAATGATGAGCAATCGAACGAATGAGTTCGACCGTTGGCGAAGAAGCTATCTGGGCCATGCTATCCACAAGGGATAGAGATCAGCAGAATTACGTCATTAGTAAGTTCTTGCAACGAGAACTTGATGAGTCGCGAGAGCAGGGGACCTTGCTGCAACAACAAAATCACCCGCGGACAGATGCACTGAGATAGTAGTCGTCTCATTCCGCACGGTTGACGCTCACGCGTCGAAAGAAGTCTCTAAAGCTAGAGATGACCAAGTATTACGGAGTCGAGAACGAGTTTCTAATGAGATGGTTTGTCGAAAACGACGGTGTCATCGAGGCCCGTCGCATCAACGAAGAGCGAGCGCAAGTCGCATTTCTCAGTCTTACTTGGCAGGGGACGCCAAGAATGGGGCCCTGAATCTCAAGTTACACGACCCGAACGAGTTCGAGTCGTTAGACGTCGTCCATACCCTGCTCAGTGAGACGTTTGAGCCTCCCAGGGCAGAGTTCAGGACTCTCTCTGAACTCCTTGAGATCAACCAGGGTAAGTGTAAGATATACGCTTACGCTCAGCATGCGCGCTACATTGCAAGTTGCATGGTAGTGAACCCTGTGAGTGAATTTGTGAAGATCGCATTATTAATTTAAGGTTTTTCAGATGGTCCCGTCCGGCATTACCTGTTTCGCGGAGAGCTACAGACGCTCTCTGAAGTATTCTACGTTGCAAAACAGGAAGACTTAAGCGTAGGACAGGTTCAATCTACGCTAACTCCCTATCGTCCCCAGAGTCGACCGGCGGTCGTAGATCCAGAAAATATGGACATCTGTAATGTCGAAAGCGAGAAACCTCGCCCTCTGAATGACACGCGATTGCTGAGACTCCGTCGCCGTCATAAAGTGGGATGCTACGCATTTGAATGAAGTATCCGCCGCTCAGTACCCCTCGGTGCTGAGCGCCGTAATTGTCCATTAGTCAAAAGAATTGGAGGTTGAAGGTCTCATGCTGTTGCAAACCCGCAACAGCGTGGCGGACCATCAAAAAATGGTCAGAGTCAGTAGTGAAGGAGCGCTCCCACTAATCCAGCAACATCAAGAGAATTTGACCATCTCTTTAAGAAGGTTGCTCCCGAAAATCAGTCTCTGTGTGTCTCTGCACCTGTTGATGAGGTGTCCTTCATCACCTTGACAATAAAATGACAAAGGACTTGTCACTTCGCGCACTAATTGACTGTGGGGCGTCAAAAACTTATTTCGGCGCCAGTTTCTGGGGTCCCGACGTCTTGACTTTTTTGTGCGAGACACCTTCTAAACGAGGATGACGATGCGCCTTGCTACAAGCGCATCGTCAGTGTGAAGAAACGTGAAGTAGAAATTTACTACACGTTAGAAGGCGAACAGTACGCAGACAACTTCATCTTGCTGGATCTGTATGACAAGTTCGAAGTTGTCCCAGGGCTTTCTTGGCTCAGGAGATACGAGCCAAGGGTGAGATGGCATTATTGATCAGTAACTATGCCCGCCGGTTGTGCATCTGATGACCATCCGAAGAACGTCTCGGAACGCATATATTTGTGTGAATGTACTGCGAGTGAGTGCGATGGCCTCACTTGTGGTACGGTCGTTAGCACGACTGAATCGGGACACAGTGTAGATGATCACTACAGTGTAGAGAATGTTCTTCGGCATCCAATGGATGTGATCTCTCAGGAAGTAACCGAGACATTGAAAGCCTTGATTAACGACGGACCAAGCGTAGGCGCTTACACTCTCGATCTGATTGTGCCTCCAAAGTTAACTTCGGAGATAACCTGATTGCCAAAGCTAGATACGAAAAGATATTTGCGTGATCTGCGTAGTGGCAAAGTCAAGCAGATCTGTGTACTCGTCGCGGAGGACGAGTACGTAATCGTTATTCGATCGGCAACGGTGTTTAATGAGACCGAACGGGTTCTCGACAGTTAATCGATGGACGAGAGCGTCATCGATGAAAAGACTCGGATTGAGAGATATTAATCCTAATAGTCAATCCAGGCAAATCCTTTTTATAAGGATTTTATCGAATTCAAGGATGTATTCCCTGAATCTGTGCCATGCGAGTTGCCTAAGGACAAAGGCACTCGACACGGGATCGAGCTCAAGCCGGGATCGAAGTACTGTGTCATGAGGCAGGGGCCACTGCCTCGTGAGCAGTTGCTAGCGATCGACAAGTTCTTTTTCGATCGCTTAGCAGCGGGCCATGTGAGGGAATCACTTTCTTCTCACAGCTCTCCGACCTTCTGTGTGCGAAAGGCCACAGGAGGATGGCGGATAGTGCACACATTCAACATATTAAATGCTGTTACAGTACCGAATCAGACGCCGATACCGAGGATGGACGTTATCATAGACGGTATGTCAAAGAGCACCATCTTTTCGTCCATGGATCTGATGGATGGATTCTATCAGATCCTCATGCGTGGACGGGGCATCACGTACACGGCAGTGAGTACCCCCAGCGGTATGCTGTGGGAGTGGCTAGTGATATCACAGGGGCTGAGCAATAACAATGTTACATTCAATAAATGTGTAACATATCAATTGAGACCGGTGTGGGATTTCGAACCGAATTTTTTGTCGATGTGGTCGTTCATACCCGATCTATGGACGGAACGATGGACGTGGAAATTTACAGAACACACGTTCGTCAGGTTTTTCAACTTACGCGCAAGCATAAGCTGTATGCCAATCTTTAAAAGTGTATATTCGCAGCTAGCAAAGTACCACTTCTTGGATACATATTGGGTAAACTCGGCGTATGCCCCGATTCCGAGAAGATCAAGGCGATCACCGACTGGCCTGAGCCAGTCGATGTCAAGGGAATACGGAAGTCCCTTGAATTAGCGGCGTACTTACACAAGTACTCGCGCAACTACGCCGAGATGACTGTTCATCTTTTTTGCTTGCTCAAGAAATTTGTCAAGTGGTCATTGAACGCTGAGTGCCAGCGTTCCTTCGAAAAGATAAAAAAATCTTGATGCAATCGCCCATCTTGGCGATCGCAGATCAGGACAGACGATTCCATGTGGTCTGTGACGCCAGCAATTTTGCAATCGGCTGTGCGTTAATGCAGTATGACACAGAAGGCGCGGAGAGCGTCATCTATTATCAGTCGCGTCAGCTGCAACCAGTCG